CTCGGGAGGCTGAGGCAGGAGGATCACTTGAGCCCAGGAGTTTGAGGTTGCTGTGAGCTAGGCTGACGCCATGGCACTCACTCTAGCCTGGGCAACAAAAGCGAGACTCCGTTTCAAAAAAAAAAAAAAAGAGTAGATAAGCAGAAGCACTTTTAAAATGCCATGAGAACCATCTTGTTATATTACCCAAGCCAAAAAAAAAGTTTTATAAAGTAATGTGTTTTACATAAAGCAAAAACAGGAGAGTTTGTTCTTCTCTAGTGACTAAAACGTAGTCTTTCATAAATATACATTCAATTGTTTAAAGCTAATATGGATTACACACACAATGGGTGTGAATATCTGTAAATCATATACCACACAATAAGACTTGTTTCTAAAATATATAAGGAACACATACAAATCAATAAGAAAAAGATAAAAGCTGGGCACAGTGTGAAAGGGGCAGCCTTGCAAAAATACCTTATCCTACAATCACCCCAGTAAAAGATCAATCCTATGAGTTCTCTCAGGAATAGGCACCCTGCAGGAGTTCTGTTTTACACAACTTCTGAAAAGAGCTGAAAGGACAGAAAAGAGATGTAAATCCCTCTTTCAAAATTGTTTTTTGAGAATCTGCTTTTACAGAGTTCCCGAGTAAACGGCAGAATAACGAGCTATAGCCTCAACCATATCTCCAGGACAGAGTCACATCACTGGTGATAACTCATTCTCCAAGGAAAAGCAGGAAACAAATTCTTGGACTCTGATATCCTGCTGTCACTTTTCTTATCAACTGCCATCACTGTTTTCTTCCTCTTTGTCCCCCTTAAAATCAGCAAGCCACCTGGCCTCACTGCCAGTACCCCCTTCATTTTGGGATGCCACAGCATCTCCCTGCTCTCTTCCCCCCACCTCTTTCCCCTCTTTCACCCTCTCATTCTATCTTCTGAGAAGATAAAACAGACCTTTTTTACTTTTATATGTCTTAATTTCTGCATAAGAAATCTTTCTCCATCCACACTGCGAGCACCCACTAGGCTTTCCACCCTAATACAGTGGCGCATGTCTGCAGTCCCAGCTACTCAGGAGGCTCAGGTTTGGGTAGCTAGCTTGAGTCCAGGAGTCGGAGTTCACCCTGGGCAAAATAATGAAACTCCATCTCTTAAAAGAAAAAATAATAATAATTTTTAAAAAGACTCAGTTAAAAAATGGCTAAAGTATCTGAACATTTTTCCAAAAAAATTATGTAAGTGGCCAATAAGCACATGAAAAGATACTCAACATCACTGCCATCAGGGAAATGCAAATCTAAATCACACTGAGATACCACTCTACATCCACTGGCTATAATCAAAATGACAGGCAGTGAGAGAAGTATTGGTAAAGATGTAGAGAAAGATGTGGAGAAAATTCTACCCCTCATATATGGCTGGTGGAAACATAAAATGGTATAGCTGTTGTGGAAAATAATCTGGCAGTTCCTCAGAAGGTTATTTCACTCCTGGGTATGTATCAAGAGAAATGACAACATATGTCCATGTAAAAACTTCTACATGAATGTTCATAGCATCATTATTTATAATACCTCCAAAAATAGAAATAACCCAAATCTTCCACCTGATAAATTGATAAAATTGTGGTATAACCATACAATGAAATATCCTTTGGCAATAAAATATTAAACACTGATGCATGCTACAACACGGATGAAACATAAAGACATCTTGCTAAATGGAAAAAGTCAAAATGACCACATGTCCAGAACAGCAAACCTATAGAGACAGAAAAATTAGTGATTGCCTAGAACGGTGGGTGGTAGTGGAGTTTCAGGGGTGAAACAGGGAGTGACTACTAATGGGCATGAGTTTACTTTAAGGGTGATAAAAATACTGTGGTGATGGCTGTCGTTAATATACTAAAAACCATTGAATTGTACTATTTAAATGGGTAAATTGTATGGTATGTACATTACATCTCAGTAAAGTAGTTTTTAAAAACTAGTCTGAGCTATAAAGTATAACAAATCTAATGATGAATGAAATAACTCTATTTTTACCTAATCTTTGATGTATAATTGCTCTTTTTAAAATAACTAATACAGGCTGGGTGCAGTGGCTCACGCCTGTAATTCCAACACTTTAAGAGGCTGAAGCAGGAGGAGCGCTTACGGCCAGGAGGAGTTCAAGACCAGCCTGGGCAACAAAGCAAGATCTCATCTCTATGAAAATTTAAAGAAATAAAATAAAATTGGACCTCTATTAACCTGGCTTTGTTCCAGAAGAAATGGGAAGTTCCAACATGTAATGGTATGAGCATGATATAAATCAATTCTAACAAAATGCCAGTGGACTTTTAAATTTCTCTGGGCAGCAAAACTTCTGTAATAATTTCTAGAAAGCTTTAAGCTTTTACAGTATAAAAAACTTTAAAGCAACTATGAAGTTCTGATGTTAGCCTCTTTTTGTTTCAACAGTGCAGTGCTGCCTACTGTCACGCTGGGATTCTGTGAAATGCACTCTGTGTCTCTCAGTGGCAACTCAAGTCATAGGCCCTATCGAAAGTGTTCTCATCTCATGGAAATAGTGCAAAAGTTAAGTACTACTCATAGAATCAAAAAAAGTCAGTCTTACACAAAGATAAAAATGGCAAATCTTAAATTTTTTTGATTGTATATATTTTTCTGATGGTTTGTTACCTCTTCCTTCAGTGCATGTTTCCTCTGTTCCAAGCAGATCTCTTTAGCTCTCATCATCTGCAAAGTCTCCTTAGAAACTGCATACTGGAGTTTTTCCATACGTTCAGCAGCTGCTGCCCATGATGCTTTACCAAATTTCTTCTGATCTGCTCGCATTCGATCGTACACAGCTATTAATAATTTAATGAGACATAAAACAACTTGACACCAAAGAATTGGAAATCTAGATTTCACTGACCAAAGATAAACACACACATCCTATCCCCCTGATAAATTACCTATAACATCTATAAAATATATTCAACAATTTTAGATTCTGTCTTCAATTCATCCATAGAAATAATGTTCTGCAGATGAAACTGAGGTGTCAGATTAATTTTTAAAACTTTAAAAAATACTTTCATATGTCCAGTGTTATTAACTTTCAAAGCATCTATGAAAACTTTTAATTCTGTGAGGTATTAATGCTTTTTCTTTGGTATGTTAGTTGAAATCAGAGCCATAACTATTCAAAATTACTTAAATCTATGTTCTATATTTTATCATTCTGTATCTTCCAAAAATACTGCAATAACCTGATGTAAGGGAAAATAAATCCTAAATGCTAGCATGGAGCTCAAGTAGGCAATTTAATTAGTACTAAATGTAATCTTTAAATCAGGACATATTCAGTGATAATTTCTTTCATATGTTCAGAAATAAATGATAAAGTAACTTTGTACTGCTACGATGTCCTAACCATCTTTTGCAAGTAAGTATAGTCCAGTGACCTTTACACCTCAGAATTTCATGAAACTTTTTTTTATAATACACGTACATGCTTAAAATTAAAACTGGGCAGGGTGCAGAGGCTCACACCTATAATCCTAGCACTTTGGGAGGCTGAGACTGGAGGATCACTTGAGGCCAAGAGTTTGAGACCAGCCCCAGCATAAGCAAGACCCCGGCTCCACAAAAAAACAGAAAAACTAGTTGGGCATGATGGCACACACCGGTAGTCCCAGCTGCTCACGAGGCTGAGGCAGGAGCACTGCTCGAGGCCCGGGAGTTTGAGGTTGCTGTGAGTTATAATGAAGCCACTGCAATCTATAGACAGGGTGACAAAGCAATACCTTGTCTCAAAACAAACAAACAAAATCCTGGGCCAGGCACAGTGGCTCATACCTATAATCCCAGTGTTTTGGGTGGCCAAGGAGGGAGGATTACATGAGGCCAAGAGTTCAAGACCAGCCTGGGCAATATAGCGAGACTTCATCTTCACAAAAAATTTAAAAATTAGCCAACACCTATAGTGCTAGCTACTTAGGAGGCTGGGGCTGGAGGATTCCCTGAGCCCAGGCGTTTGAGGCTGCAGTATACTCTAGCCCGGTTGACAGAGCAAGACTCCATTTCTTTAATTAAAAAAAAAATTAAAACTGTACAGTCACATTCCCTATACTCAGCTTTCCCCAAAACCTAGTGCCAATGTCCAAATGTAATTAACTTTTAACCACTTCTGCGGTTACCTCAATACAGAAATATTGGTATTTTTGGTTTGCAGCCTTTAAAAATCATTTATTCTTATTACAGGATGAGGAATTTGCTTACTTACAATCTCCACTCTCAATATAGTTACATCACTTTCTTTGGTTTCTCTGGGGTTTTTCGTTTGTTTGGGGTGGGATTTTGAAGCCTTTAAATGTTAACAGGAAGTAATGTTTTCAATTCATAATCTCCTTGAGCCTCAATTTTAGGGTTTCTAACAAAATATGCTCATGTTTATTAGTATCAAATGATTCTGCCATTTTTAATTTCTGACCACCTTTTAAAACTATAATATTAATGCACCCACAGATTAATACAGTAGTGTACTACAGTGGGGCAGAGAAACAGCAGGGGACTTGGGGGTAGATAGCTTTGCAACCCATAACTGGTGTGTGACTTTCAGCATTAACTGTTCTTGGCCTTATTTCCCTTGAGTAAAAAGAGTAAAGAAATATAATGCCTAACCAGAAGGTCTGCTGTGGTTTAAAGAAGAGAATGATAGGTATTCAAATGTCTCTCCCATTTCATACGGCAGTATTAATCCAACAGATGATATATTTTGTTTCAATTTTTTCTCTCATGTACACATCACCATCACTAATATTTATTTGATGTTATATTATTTCCAAAGCACTCTGCCCATATTTTACCTCTATTTGTCCTGCAATCCTAGAGAATTGGCAAAGTATGCATTATCAACACCTTCCATATAGATATGAGAAACTGAGAGTTTTACCAACTTAAAGCAATGTTACATGCCTATAGTAGTGCCCCAAGTTGTTTAAATTCTGAGTCTACTACTGCTACCACTTTTACCCAAACTTATCATCACAACATATAGTCAAACATTCTACAAAATCACAATAACCTGAAGCCCTTTTTCTTGCTCCCCACTTCAGGAGCATGTCTGGAGCAGCCCTCTGTCCTAATTCAGTCCCAGGTTACCTACCACAATTACCTACTTGATACTTTGTCTTCCAACATCTTTGGATGAAACCTATTCTTATATTTAACTGCTGTTCACTTCACTTGGAATTACTGTTAAACAGCTCAGGAATATGAAGGTAATCAAAATTATTTGTGAATGTGGAATGTTCGGAATACCCTGAGTATTTCTTGGGAGGCTGAGGCGGGAGGATTGCTTGAGCTCAGGAATTTGAGACCAGCCTGAGCAAGAGCGGGACCTTGTCTCTATTAAAAATAGAAAAAATTAGCCAGGTGTGCTGTGGTCCACCTGTACTCCCAAGGGTCTGAGGCAGGAGGATTGCTTTAGCCCAGGAGTTTGAGGTTGCTGTGAGCGAGGCTGACGCACTCTAGCCCAGGCAACAGAGCAAGACTCTTCTCTCCAAAAAAAAAAAAAAAAGGTATCAAGTTAAATCTATTTTTAAAGGAAACAGGCCCACTCAAGGGTTTTGTTTATTTTTTACAGTTAAGCAGTAATACATCAAAATTAGGTCAAAACTGGCTCTGTATAAGAAAATAAAAGGGATGTTTTACTCTTCTTCTAAAAGAAGAGTTTTTTTAAATATTAGAGACAAGTGTATCTAGAAAGCAGACTCTAAATGAAGGTTAAGTACATAGCTATCGTAAAAAGTTTACAGTAGGGAAAGGCATCTTTAAAGTTGTTTTAAAGACTACTCAATATAATGTAGTATTTCTCCTTTAT